AATTAAATATTGGGAAAAATAAAAATAAAAGAAAAGGAAATAGAAGTTGTTCCTTGCAAGGAATTTAATGGAAGAGAATTGTGGAGAGGAGAAGGGAAGGGACAGAAGATTGGACCGGGCCCAAAGAGATCAAAGAATTGGGCCCATTAGAGGGCCCACAGAATTTGGTGGTGGGCCCACCCAAATCCACTAATAAAAGTATAATAATAAAAATAAAAATAAAAAAAAGCTGACGTCAAAATCAAACGGCTCACATTTGCTTAAGAGTCTAACAAACAATCATTCACCGTTGAAAGAATGGGATAGGATGTGAGAAGTGCCCACTTTGCTGGTACTCACTATAATTATTGGTTTTTTAATTTTTAAATATTATTTTTGTTCCACATTGCTTTTATAAATGTCCAATTTTAATAATTGTTTTTTTTATTTATTAATTTTAAATTTTAGTTTTTTTATTTATAAATTTTAATTCGTACTATTTTATATGTATAATTTTTCATTTTTATACATGTATATACTAAAGTCTCAAACTTTATATTATGTGTATTAATGTAATATAGTTGTTATGCCTAGATGCTTACAAATAAATAAATATGATAGAGACAAAAAGGTGAGTGACATCTTTCTAGAAGCAATGCAAGCCCATGTCACCTCTAATGAAGGTGGTAGGCAAAATTAGGACTAAAGAGAGAAAAATAAATTAAGATCGAGAGAAGTTAGGTTTATCTGGCTCTAGCTCTCGTGTAAACCACCTTTTTCATTTGTTCGTTCTAAAAAATTTAAAAGTTGCAATATTACTCGTACAGGTTGTAGAACTGAAAATTTCAACAGTGACACTCGAGTAAACGAAAGGTACATGAATCAACTGAGAGCGCGTTCGAATGAGAGTAATCATGAGGATAGAATGACTAAGAATTGACGACATTTTTTTTAGGATGCATATGTGTGAGAACAATTCATATTGGAAGGACTCGTGTTGGTCGGTAGGGGATAGGTTTCACTCTTATAATCGAAGAATGAGTAACGTAACCATGTTGCAGGAGATGTAGAGAATGTCGAGGTCAGAGCCATTGAGTGCAGAATAAAGATTCTAAATTTTAGACATGGGTCGTGTTCTAAGTCAAAGCCTTATAATTAGAGTTTGAGATAACTTCTAGGCCTAAAAGTTTTAGCATTTGTGGGATATATATATATATATATATATGAGTTTGAGATAACTTCTAGGCCTAAAAGTTTTAGCATTTGTGGGATATATATATATATATATATATATTAATAAGCACGTGCATCGCTCATGGTTAGAAGTGATGGTTTGGTATATGCTTCTTTATTTTATTCAATGCAAATGATGGTTGGAATAAAGGAGTAATTCTTTTAGTTTGGTATATGCTTCTTTATTTTATTCAATGCAAATGATGGTTGGAATAAAGGAGTAATTCTTTTAGTTTTTTAAGAACAAAAGTTAGTGAAACAAATTAAATTATTGTTTTTATTATTAAACTTAGTCTATAAATTTTAAGGTATGGTTTTATGTTGTTTTCGAGAGAATAATAGTGTTTTATCTATGAAACAAATATGTTAATTTATATGACATAAAAATTGAATAATTTAACGAAATAAAGTGAATTTGTATGTGATATGTTGTAATTGAAAGAGAACTCGAACCCACTTCTTGAAATGGATATCAAATCACTTTTATAGGTCAGATTTGGCTTCGCTCCATTTTGTTAATGCTTCTACACTATTTTGTGGTTGAAAGTTTCGATTTTGAACGTATATGCTATGTTGTGATTGAAAGAAAAGTCGAACCCACTTCTTGAAACGGGATATCTAATCACTTTTCATCGGACTCCATTTTATTTTGTGGACGTCTCTACAGTATGTTATTGTTGAAAATTCCGATCTTGAGTGGAAGTGGACAATGAATTTGTGTATATTATGTTATGATGGAAAGAAAACTCGAACTCGTTTCTTGAAACGGGATATCTAGTTGCTTTTATAAGTAACATTTGACTCCGCTACATTTCGTTGATGTCTCTACAGTATGTTATAGTTGAAAGTTTCGATCTCGAGTGTAAGTGGACAACGGATTTTGTGTATGCTATGCTATGATTGAAAGAAAACTCGAACCCACTTCTTGAAACGGGATATTAAACCACTTTTATAAGTAACATCTGAATCCGCTCCATTATGTTGATGTCTCTACAGTATGCTACAGTTGAAAATTTCGATCTTGAGTGGAAGTGTAGAATGAATTTGTGTATGCTATGTTATGACTGAAAGAAAACTCGAACCCACTTCTTAAAACGGGATATTAAATCACTTTTATAAGTAACATCTGACTCCACTCCATTTGGTTGACGTCTCTACAGTATGCTACAGTTGAAAATTTCGATCTTGAGTGGAAGTGTAGAATGAATTAGTGTATGCTATGTTATGACTGAAAGAAAACTCAAACCCACTTCTTGAAACGGGATATTAAATCACTTTTATAAGTAACATCTGACTCCACTCCATTTGGTTGACGTCTCTACAGTATGCTACAGTTGAAAATTTCGATCTTGAGTGGAAGTGTAGAATGAATTTGTGTATGCTATGTTATGACTGAAAGAAAACTCGAACCCACTTCTTAAAACGGGATATTAAATCACTTTTATAAGTAACATCTGACTCCACTCCATTTGGTTGACGTCTCTACAATATGCTACAGTTGAAAATTTCGATCTTGAGTGGAAGTGTAGAATGAATTTGTGTATGCTATGTTATGACTGAAAGAAAACTCGAACCCACTTCTTAAAACGGGATATTAAATCACTTTTATAAGTAATGTTATGACTGAAAGAAAACTCGAACCCACTTCTTAAAACGGGATATTAAATCACTTTTATAAGTAACATTATGACTGAAAGAAAACTCGAACCCACTTCTTAAAACGGGATATTAAATCACTTTTATAAGTAACATTTGACTCCACTCCATTTGGTTGACGTCTCTACTGTATGTTATAGTTTAAAGTTTCGATCTTGAGTGGAAGTGTACAACGAATTGTGTATACTCTGCTATGATTCAAAGAAAACTCGAACCCACTTCTTGAAACGGGATATTAAATCACTTTTATAAGTTACATCTGACTCCGCTCCATTTTGCGGACATCTCTACTGTTTGTTATTATTGAAAGTTTCGATCTTGAGTGGAAGTGGACAACGAATTTTGTGTATGCTATGCTGTGATTGAAAGAAAACTCGAGAGCCCACTTCTTAAAATGAGATATCTAATCACTTTATAAATCACATTTGACTCCGCTCAATTTTGTTGGCGTATCTATAGTATGCTACGGTTGAAATTTTCGATCCCAATTGACCTAAAACGCAAAGAAAGAAAGTGTAGCTTTTCAAATCAAACTCCATAAAATACCACAATAGGAAATGGGAATAATAAAGAATGAAAAGGAAGTAAAAAGATGGGGAAAAGTGAAGAAGAACAACACACATTTGATAGCTTTTTTAAGTGTGTGGGGTCTTTTGTCTTTGGATGGGCAGTGGAAAACCCACAAAAAAGAACACAAACCCTTATCTCAAGCTTGCACCAATGAATGTGGAGGTTTATTATCAATATCACTATAAATACTAATAATAAAATAATATATATACAGATATTCGTCGATATCCACATTAATATTCAATGCTCGGTCAAAATTCAAAAGTTTGACTTTCCACACGTAGAGATTAAGAGTCGAAGTTTTGGTGTTTTTTTTTTTTCTTATCCATTCATACTCGTTATGTAATAGCTCAAACTCACTATTAGTAGAAATTGTCTGCTTTAGTCTCTTACGTATCGCTATCAACATCACGATTTTAAAACACGCCTACTAATGTTTTGTCTACAACGTAACCTACTCCTCGCCTAGATATTGTTAATTTTGGCCCATTATATATTGTCATTAGCCTCATGGTTTCAAAACACGGCTACTAAGGAGAGGTTTCCATACCTTATAAGAAATGTTTCATTTCCCTTTTCAAATGTGAATCCAATATCTTGGCAGGGTTACATTCTGCTATTAGTCTCACCGTTTTAAAATGCGTTTACTAAATAAAAGTTTTAATAGTAACAAATGTTTCGTTTCCCTAGATCTCACAATACACCCATTTGGGACCAGCATCTTCACTAGCACACCGCTCGGTATCCAGCTCTAATACTATTTGTAACAGCATAAACGCACCGCTAGTAAATATTATCCACTTTAGCCTATTATATATCACAATCAATCTCACAATTTTAAAACTAGTCTACAACCATATGCATAGATTATGTATCACAGTTAATTAAAATATTTTCTAAAAAATTAATTATCAAAATAAGGGCTATTATTAAAACCTTCGTGAACGTAGTTAAAACAAATTGGGCCAATACTATTGGGCCGGTCCGGGTCGGGTCGGGTCTAACATTGATTCTCTTTCTTTACGTAAGATAATAATTTCTTCACTCGCGTCTCGACAACAACAATAAATAAATAAATAAATAATTTATAGAAAAATAATAAATAAAATCGCGACTAATTAAATTAATAACATTTTTATTTCTCTCAATTTTTAATTAATTACATGAATGATCGATCACGTGAAATTACTAAAAAAGAGGATATCCTTTTACATAAATCTGGACACTGACAAATTAAATAAAATATTTAAAAAAAAAAAGACACAAATAATAAATAAAGAAAAACAAATTATTTAATTACATAATACACATAAAAATAAAATTTTGATTTGATATTGGAATACCCATTATAATCTCAAACCCAAATAACGAAACAAAAAAATCGATTCAATCCTTCAAATTTTTGCACTAAATTTTCCCGCCTGCCAAACACAAAATTCATTGGCAAACATGAATTTTCTCGGGAAAATCAAACCCAGAAAATTTCAAATTTTTACAGACAAAGAAGTAAGTATTGCAAGACCCAATTAAGAATCTCTGAAATTATGAACAAAAACCCTAAATTTCTATGCATTAAAAGAGCTCTATAATGAATTTTCAGCATCAAACAGAGAAATTTTCCACTAATTTTAAATCTCTATCCCACATAACAAACAAATGCCTAAAAACTAAGCTAAAATTAAGAAAAAGAAGAAGATTAATGAAGAACGGAACCAAATGGCTCATTAAACTCAACCAAAAAGAGAAATCCCCAAAATTTAAACTTACCCTTTATCCATTGGATTCACCACCATACCAAACTGCTTCTGTCTCCTCATTTCCATCACTTTCCGGTGAGAATTCGAGTGCAGCTCTGGCGAGAACGTCGGACTACTCGCCGGGCGGTATTCCGGCACCAGCCGCCCTGATTTGTATCTAACTCCACAAGCATTACAGAGCGTTTTCGGCCCATATGGACCAGCCCGCCACTGCGGCGTTTTTTCCGCTCCACAATGTAGGCATTTTCTCCCAATCGGTGTCTTCGCCGTCGTCACCGCCGCCGCGGTGGTAGCGGTAGCGATGGTGATGGGTAGTATTTGTTTCACATTTCTTGAACTGGGTTGTTGTTTGAACCAGAGATGGTGGCCGGAAATGTGACGGCCACGACGGCGTTTGCTCCGTGCCTTGCCGGGAACTTTCAGGCCGTCGCAGCAACTCATCAGAATGCTACCATGGGCACTCGGTTTATTTCCGCCGTGGCTACTGATTGAAGTGGTTTCGAGAACCGAAACCGGACTGTTTTGTTTGGAAACGCTCATTAACGACGGCGGCTGCGGGTGGTGGTGGTCGGAGAGAATATCGACGAACGTCTCAACGGCGGGAAATACATCTTCGTTTGATAGCCACTCGAGTTCTTCCTCAGCGTAATCCTCCTCCTAACACCCAAAAAAAAACCAAAAACGAGTTTTTCAGTAACTCGGCCTAAAAAAACCGAGTCAACTCGGTTCCGTATTTTTTGTTTTTTTTGATCCACCAATAATTATAATAACAGTAGCAAAAATAATAAATAATAATTAAATTATTGCCCTTTTTTTTTTCAAAATTAGGATGAGAAAAGGCGTGACTGCGGGGGCTAAAAGCAAAAGGACGAATAAGCCTAGTCCCATTTGTTAAAGGAATGTTGGAGGATAGGGGCAAAAGTGTCATTTCACAGGAAGACAGGAGTGGCAATATTAAAGATTGATTGATATTTCCACTCCCTCTCCATCAGATATTATTATTATTTATTATTTACAAGCATACAATTCTAAACCTAACAGACGACAGCTCAGAACCACATAAAAAGGACCCCCATTAACACAATACCCAAAATACCCTCAACTTTCCTAATTCAACTAGTGTACCCAGGGCCATATCCGTCTTTTCAACTGACCCCCACCCACCCCCACCCACCCAATTAACGTTCTCTTCAACTTTTTCGCAACTCAGGCGAGTCAACTCAGAAACTCACTCCGTGTGAGCCCGTTTTTCACAACCCAACCGGAATAACGAAACCCACCGGCGAAAAAAAGGACTTACAGGCAAAACACGGCAAGAGGAGGAATCTTCCGGGTGGAAACCGGCGTTGAACTCCGAGGAGTCAGTCACTGCCGCCGCCTTGGGCTTAACGGAAAAGGGTGGAACGGCGTCGTCTTCCTCGTCTTCCCCACCGATGTCGGAAGAGAAATCCAGAAGGTCATCCATGAAAGCCAAAGAAGACTCCATTTTTTTTTTGTGCGAGTTTTTAAAAGAGAGAGAAAGAGAACCCGTTTTCTAGAGAGAGAAAGAGTGTTGTTGTGAGTCTATTATTATCGTCAACACGATGTCTTCGTGAGGGTTTTTGGGTGTGGTGGGGGAAACGCAACGAGGGGATGTCAATTTTTTTCTTTTTTCTTTTTTTTTTCCTTTTTAATTAATAATAAAAATAAAATATTCAAAAATATCCTTTTTCATGTGCGGGTGGGTGTAGAGTAAGAATAACAGAGGAGGGTTTGACTTTGACTTCCAAGTGAAAGGAGGACGATCAACTGTCGGAGTAAGTGGGGCCCGGTGTGAGTTGGCAAAATACTAAGGAGAAAGTACACCGTATTTACCGTGGATCATAGGGGTAGGATGGTATTTTAAGGTTTTTTGCAGGGGTAAATTAGGGAGAAGGAAAAAGAGTAATATTGGACGACGTTCACGATGTCGCGCTTCATCCAATGAGATTCGTACACGTAATTTACCCAATAAGAGTCCGACACGTTGGAGTTTCTTTCTTTATTTATTTTTTTTGTTTCAAGATTTATTTGGAAAAATGTTTGAAGATGGTGGGGCCCGCAGAGACACCGCATGTGGCGGCGATGATAGTGTTTGACTCCACGCGCTGAGTTATCAATTTTTATAGTACGAGGGTAGGGTCCACTCCAGGGGTAATATCGTAAATTCATAGTTAGGATATGGGAATATTAGTGTGTGCATGTGAACGTGAAAGTGGGAGCCTCGACACCCCACTCCAAAAAGAAAAAAAATATATATATATACAATTTGAGGCTACCATACATAATATATATAATTTAATCTATATATACGTTCATTTAAGCCCATAAAATTAATACCACATATTTGCTGTACTAAACGAATGCTCGAACTTTTTTGTGTATAGTTACAAGACACGAGATTAAAGAATTCGATAGCTTTTTTTCACCTCATATTCCAAATCTGTAGGAGTGCTTAAGGGCTGAGTTAGGGTTGGTTGAGCGAGTGACCTGAGCAACTGGAATAGAGTTCATAATCTAACTCAACTCAACTATCTATTTGTGGTTGTATTGGATAAGGTCATTTTTTTTTTTTTTGTTATTATTACGTATTATATTAATAATTAAAATTTAATATTCCTAGTAGGATTAGATTGAGTTGTAATTTACTTTGGAATTAATCCATGACCCGACCTTAATTTTTTATTATTTAAAAATTTAATCCAACCTAATGTGAAAAAAAAAATCCCATTTTAAGGTTTAGATTAGTTAATCCAGTTTCATCAAGTTCTTAGAATCATATGAACACCCCTATAGTTAAATATAAAATTTTAAATTTTAAAGACGTATAGTAGAGATATCCAAAAGATAGGACGAGTACCTAGAAGACTTTCCGTGTCTTCCTCTTCACCACCTATCTCAATCTCGAGCCCATTGGAGGGAATATTCCTCGAAGGAATTTTTCTTACCTTTTTTATTTTTAGGTTATTTTTCAACTCTTATAATAATTATTCCCAAAAAAAAATTAAATGGGACTTCTCAATAAGAATATTTAAAGAAAGAACAGGAAAATATTTTAATAAAAATAATAATATTTATAAGCAAAAATATAATTATAATATATATATATATATATATTGAAATTTGACGTGTATTGACTTAATACGTAATTAAGTAGAAATGAAGATTAAAGACCAAAATTGGAAATTAAATAAATATTTTGAATTTTTTTTAAGTATAAAAATCATTAGATTTGAAAAGTCAGATACTAAAAATAGAATTTAAAACAATAAATTTTATTTTATTTAATTTATTAAAAATCTGTGATGGGGAAATACTATAGATTTATATTTTTATATTATTTAAAAAAAAAAAAAAAAAAAAAAAAAAAAAAAAAAAAAAAAAAANAAGATAGGACGAGTACCTAGAAGACTTTCCGTGTCTTCCTCTTCACCACCTATCTCAATCTCGAGCCCATTGGAGGGAATATTCCTCGAAGGAATTTTTCTTACCTTTTTTATTTTTAGGTTATTTTTCAACTCTTATAATAATTATTCCCAAAAAAAAATTAAATGGGACTTCTCAATAAGAATATTTAAAGAAAGAACAGGAAAATATTTTAATAAAAATAATAATATTTATAAGCAAAAATATAATTATAATATATATATATATATATATTGAAATTTGACGTGTATTGACTTAATACGTAATTAAGTAGAAATGAAGATTAAAGACCAAAATTGGAAATTAAATAAATATTTTGAATTTTTTTTAAGTATAAAAATCATTAGATTTGAAAAGTCAGATACTAAAAATAGAATTTAAAACAATAAATTTTATTTTATTTAATTTATTAAAAATCTGTGATGGGGAAATACTATAGATTTATATTTTTATATTATTTAAAAAAAAAAAAAAAAAAAAAAAAAAAAAAAAAGTCCACAAATTTAGGATTTGAAACAAGATTCCTTACCTAGATTAGGTGAATCTCATTCTCTCACTCTTGATTTGGGGTGGGGCCCACAATTTATAAATTATTTTAAAGACTCTTTATTAATACCAACGTAATTAAATTCTACATATAACTTAATTTTGAAAATATTAGTATATATAAATACCCACAAAGTAAATGTGAATTAGAAGTAAATATGGTATCCAAATTTAATGTAAAAATATGAAATTTCATTTTTATAAGAAAATTATAATTTAGAGAAAATGTTCCGGTTAACCTAAAGTGTTGGATTGGTTAGGTTGGTGACCCGAGTAACTGAAATAGAGTTCATAACGCAACTCTGTATTTTTTAGTTGAGTTGTTGAATTGTCGGGTTATTTTTTTATAATTATTTTTTAAAAAATACTTACATTGGTTAATACGTGGTAAAATTCACATAATTTTTAATATACATTAAAAAAATATTTACTTTAAGAAATGTTTATATATTTATATTTTTATCTAGGGAAAGGCCATTGGAATAACATGTTTGAATCTAGGGTGTACATGGTCTGAGTTCGGTTGGGTTGAGGGATCTTTTTTTACTCCACCCAAAAGAACCCAAACCAACCCAAAAAGCTAGTCAGCCGGAGGGTTTTTCCCTATGAACTTGAAACCGAATCGAGTCAATTCGGTTCAGAAAAAGGAACCCAAACCAACTCGAAAAGCTAATACAACCCAACCCAACCCTTATAGTTCGGGTTAGGTTGGTCGGAGGTGTCGAATTAAATATACACTCCTATTTGAATCTCCCACCACACATGTATTGATATTCTTTATTTTAGACCCTAATAGTTATTTGTTTATTTTTTAAAATTTAATATTTTTTGTTTTAAAATTTTCAATTTAGTCCGATGAAGTTTTATTGAGGGACTAAATTGAAAAAATAGAGCAAACATATATTTAGCCAAAAAAAAAACAACTTGTCAAGTAGGCCCATGGGCCTGTTGGATCCACCACTATCAGTCCAGCTCAGATCAACCCAGCCCACCACAGCTCAGCCCACGATAGCCCATCTCAGCCCAGTCCAGACCAGCCAAGTCCAGTCCGGCCCATACCAGCCCAGCCCAGTCCAGCCCATCTTCGTTCCGTTCTTCAGGAGCCGAAAAAATAAGCAAAAACAATGGATAAGCCGTACCAGTCGTCAGAAATGGTGGTGAACGTTCAGTAGGCTTCTTCCGCCGGGGCTCTTACTGCCGATGGAGTTCCTTTCGAGCTGCGCTTCTTCTTCGTCCTCACAGCGTTTCTCTTTCTTCAATGTCCAGCATCAAAATACTCTTAGTTCTCGCGCCACTGTAAAGGTACTCTTTTCCACCTCCATCTCTTTGTTTAAATGATCGCCAATTTTTTTTGCCGTCAATTATAGTGCAAAATCTTATTCTGCCGGCGAAATTTCCGTCGTTGAATGTGGCGTTAAGAATTTATATTACTGTTTTAGTGGCATGTTAGATTGAGCTAGTTTTCACAGTCGCAGGTATTGCCATGGAACTTTTCTGTGGTTGGTCTTGGTCGATCGACGAGGCTCAGTGCCGATGGTCGGGAGAGAACTTTGGGCTGTAATTGTGGATCAAATCGTGTTTTGTTGTTTCGGCAGTTTTGGAGATATCATTCCTGTTTGGCTTCTTCGTTTGATTTGATATCCTTGAATTATCGGTATGTGTTCAATTGGAATGTATACCAGGTGAATTTCCGAAGAATCAGGAGTTCTTTGGGAAAATTTAGACAGCGTTTCTCTGTAAAACTTGCTCGAGTGATGGTCTGCGTGATGCTAGTAATGTCAGTTTCTTCTACTTTTGGCGGCACTTCATCACGTAGGTTCAAATTTTCACTTAGTGTTTGCAATTTCTGAGAACCGAATGTTCTTCATTGTTCTTTTCATGATTAAATGTGTTTCTATTATTCAGAGGCCCTCACTGAAGAGAACCTACTGTTTTTGGAGGCGTGGAGGACAATAGATCGTGCATATATTGATAAGACCTTTAATGGGCAAAGTTGGTTTCGTTACAGAGAAAATGCATTGAGAAATGAACCCATGAATACGCGAGAAGAGACCTGTATGAAACTTTTCTCTGTTTCTGATCATGCACGGTAGACCGAATATTTTCGTAATTATCATCTAAAAGCATGAATATACACTAAACAGTTCCAATACCCCAGGGGTCGTAAATTTGTCCCAGCATTTGAAACTCTGATTTCTTCTTCTTTTTATGAGAACACTACCTCTGATCCTATTGATTTGTTTATCATGCTTTCGAGTTATTTATGTGCTCTATTGTGAATTTAGCTTTGTGGTTGCTCTGCAAAGTGCCAATGCCAATGTTTATCATTTACACGGTTTAATCATGCAATAATATACAAGTTTGGGAAATATAAAAAGCTTATTATAAGTATGACGTCGACAGTAATCATCTTTCCATGAAATCCCAGACGAGAAATTTCTTGCTAATTTAGTATGTCAGACATTTTTACTCATTTTCCTGAAATGTTGCCACTCAGTTGATAATTTTGTTTTCAGATACTGCAATAAAGAAGATGCTTGCGACTCTTGGTGATCCCTTCACTCGATTTTTAGAACCTGAAAAGTTTAAAAGTTTGCAGGTAGGAGATGCTACCTTTTTTTA